TTCTGGAAAAGACGCCACGCAGCGTCTGCTTAGGGGCGCCAAATTCTGTCCTGCCAGGCGTATCAATCGTAGACGTCTTGGAAATTTAGTGCCAGTCGCTTTTAAGAAATCCCAGTCAATCCATAATAAACGCAGGTAGCCGCTTACTTTCCCTTCACATCTTCCTTAGGTAACGGCCGACGCCAAACAAGGTCTGCACGGCGAAGAAATTACTCTGCGTAGCCGCTCTAACGCTGTAAAGCTGAATTAGAACTCATCAAAGGGAGCGAAAGCAGAAAAAACGTACGAGCAGGTCCTTCACTTCTAGAGAATCTCTCCCAACAGGTCATTATGTGAAAAACCCCTATACGGTTCCTACAGCTCGCACAATAAACCATGAAAAGATGCATGCTGTTTAACTGAAGCACTTATCAATGAAGGCAAGCAAATAGATGTGAACCCAGTGAGCTACCATTAACGCGGAAGTTGGATCTGCAAAGGAGTTTTCGAGAGCGAAAGAAATAATTAGGTGGCTCGGAGTGAAGATGGGTTGCCACTCGTGCACGAAAGTAGCCCCGCTAATACTTCATCTGCGGAAGAGATCCCTCAAAAAAACCAAAACGAAAAAATTTTTGGAACCACAAGCTTTTTTTTAAGGTTTTTCATTCGAGACATTAGCGCACGCTATTACTTACAAACTGATTTAATGTTTCCGAACCAGCTTTAAAAACGCAGTATTAAAGGCAGTTGGCACGATGGTTCCCTATTTAGCCTAAAATACTAGTAGGGCGCTATGTAGTGGGGAAATGGCGAAAGAACGGAGTGAAACGGTCAAAATCCTGCGAAAAAAACCTCGTTCTTAGCGACTTAAAAACGCGGACTTTCGGGGAGTTTTTTCCGCGGTACGCATTTGGCAATCACGCGCTACCGAAGATAGCGGCTGAATATGTTACGCCATGGCATCAGCGGCCGCTTCATACCAATTCCTTGGTGCTTGCGCAAATGCAATGAATACGAGCGTCAGGCACGGTCGTCATTTGTGGGCGGGCGACTGGGCCTCTCCGTTTTGGCGGGCGTTTGGGACGTAAAGTTGTGGCTTGATAGCGGCACACAACTCAGGGAAACCGCTGTGCAGCGCCTGCCCAGGGTCGCGGAATTCCATCCTTGCCAGAGTATCGATCCTATCGTCTTTGTGCCATTTTATGTGCCAACCCTTCATGACTTATGGATGTGGTAGAGTTGTAGGGTGCTATAAACCTTGTCTGCATTCCGCTACTCATTGTCTAAAAGCAACACCATCGATTAAGGAGAACATTACATCCTTCTTCTAGTAGATAACATGGACCCGCAATAAAAAAGAAGTGCCTCCTTCACGGTTCGGAAGTGCGCAGGGAGCGAGAGCACCAAGTTGCCGCATAGACCCATGGAACACCTGTTGGCCCAAAATGATACTGTCCGCCGTGTCAATATGTGAGCGTGCCTCTGAGAGCAGCGGCGTCTGCGCTTTTGGTGAGTAATATGCCACGTGAGACGGCTAGTGGAAAATTTGCCTACATAAAACAAGTCATCCTTTGTATGCTGGACAAAGTCATTTCAAAATTCCACGAAGTAAGGTCACTCCACGACATAATCAAATGGAGTATACAGCCACACTCTTCCCGCTTCCCGCAGTCGGGATGGCTCATAGCGCTCATCAGTCCATCGAAGCATTATATCTTCCATATCAATCCCCGGAGGAGATTGCTAAGGCTTGCCGTTAACTTTGCGGCGCGATAGCGTAGCCTTCCAGCGTACGCCGCGCAGTGGCCGAAGAGAGGATGCATATGCGATCTATGCTTCAGCCAGCGTCACAGCGGCTCACGCTGGCCTACCGCCTAACGTACGCCAGGTTCTCCAGCGTTATCACCGCACGTTTTGCTAGCGCTTGCAGCGGCCGGAGTAGAACTATGTGTCGCTCGGTGAGAGAAGCGGAACGACGCTTATTTGTTAGAACTATGTGGCCGTCGGAGACGCAGAAGCGATGTGCATTGTAGAGACTAAGGGCGAGTGAGAGACGCGCAATCGATGTGTTTTGTACCCTCCAGCTCTCCCATAGTCTCTACTCCCCTGCCGCTGCAAACGCTAGCAAAACGCTGGTGAAACGCTGGAGAAACGCTGGCGTACGCCAGCGTGCCGCTGGTGACGCTGGTGAAGCTAGATCGATATGCATCCTCTCTTCGGCACTGCCGCTGGCGTACGCTGGAAGCGCTACGCTACGCTGCGCTACGCTACGCTGCCGCAAAGTATAAACGCAGCCTAAGAATGCCAGCTCCTGTGTCGCTGCCGGGTCTACGTTCAAGAATGAATGCAAGATAACGGCTAGCGTAATGCATTACCAGAAGCAGTGGAGAGTGTACGACTTCCGAAGTGGTTAACAGGATGAGGGAAACTTAGCCCAAGTGAATGTACTTCACCGAAGGTAACGAATGTTACGCGCGCTTCGGATCGCTCCTTCGTTTCCCAGATCTTCCTGTGCGGAGATTTTTTTTGTTTTTTATAGATCAAGAAAAGAACTTTGAACTAACGGCTTCCGCTCCCCGGTTGGCTAACTGATGAATTGAATTAGACTTCTGCATGAGACTTGAAGATGTCTTCTGTCTACTTTTAATTACTACTACAGGTAATTCAAAGTCAGCTTAGTCACTGGTTTTGATCTTTGCATGAAATTTTATAGGTACCTCTGTAAGGTGCAATAACAACTATTATAACGAGCTGTAGCAGTTAATAACGGTGATCTCTCCGGCAATTCCAATTCGGATTAGATGCTGATTTAACTCTTTAAGTCTAAGTTAAGTCCCTACAAACGATAGGGAGCCTGACGGAAGCATGGCTCGGAGCGCAGCCAGATCAGATGGCATTGCTGGTAAAAAAGGGGCCCTGGCTGCGCTCCAGTATGCGCCGCGTCACACGCCCCATCGTTTGCAGCGTTCATGGCTGTACTATGGTCGAGTTATCGCCAGGCAGATCATCGTTGAGATTCTCCTACAAGGAGGGTCGTACTTAGTCGCTGGGGACGGGAGGTCGTTCCTAGTCTGATGAAACCTTTTTTTTTGATAGCTGGATTTTCTCGTTTGATGGGGGCTATGAGGGGGTGGTAGTTGCTGTTGTTGGGAAAGTGGGAAGGCTTCTGAGAAAAACTTGCAGCGCATCATTAGGAAACACTTTTTCCGGTTGTGGTTTTTTCCGCGGTTTTTCTCAGGTGCTATAGACCCCTCCCCTTTTCCCTCTAACCAACCATCCCCGCTCGACAGCAACATTTTGGGGAAAAGTAGGAAAGTAGGACAGGAAATTGTGGAAAAACTGGAGAAAGCGTTAGGAAACTGGGAACACCTAACCAGAATGTGGTAGGTAGGATGGGCAAGCGGGGTCGAATCAAGCCTCCCCCTACGGAGTGTCGTACAGACTCGACCAAAATCCCCAACCAATGACGTGCTCTGGTTATCGCGGCCAATCAGACATTTCTGGGAACCTTCATTCTACAAAAAAAAATTCCGGACTTGTTCTCACGAATCAATAAAAAGAAATTTGGACCACTTTTCTCATGAATCAAAGAGTACAGCAGTTGGCTTATCTTGATTCATGAGAATTAAGTCAATTTTCTTTTTTTATTTGTGAATGAAGGTCCCAGAATATAAGCAGTGGCTAATCTTTGATTATGGAAACAGGTCTCCCGGCGTTGCCGCTACGTCGAGCCACGATATCCATACTTTGTCAATATACCAAGGAATCCTTCATTCAAATGCTCGCACAGTCCGGTTAGTAAATTTGTTTCTGCCCCATCTATGTTAAGCCTATGCTATTGAGCAGCATGAGTGGTTGAGATCAGTGATAAAGGGGCAAATGACTCGCTTAGAGGGTGACTGTGAGTATCCCTCGCAGATCACGCCGGTGAATTGCCACCAGATTCATCTGTGAGGGTAAGAACACTGACTTTTACATCGGCTGGCCCCGCAAGTCACTCTTCAAGCCATATTGAATTCACAGGGCACTGCGGATTTGATTTTAAGTTTAAGGTATGGCTTCTCGGAGTCCCAATATCGGACCGATCGACGCAAAAACTCATCTTTTTTTCGGTTGTGCTTTCACAGGAGATGTTGCCTAAGTCATCCTTATAAACCACTACGTGGATCTCATGTGAACGTTTATATCCTACCTCTTCCCATTAAGACTCCCAACCATGTTATATTGTCGAACTTCGTCAGCTTCACACTGTTGTGTTACGTCGCAGCGCTACCCTGATGAACACTTCTCAAGGCTGCGTTCATACTTTGCGAGCGCTACCAGCAGCAACAGCGTCCACCAGCGGTCGATAGCGTCCGGCAGCGGTCACGCGTACTGCGAAATAAGAAATCTGATCTAGCCTGGCTCCAGCGTCCATCAGCGTTCGAGAGCTGAGGGAAAAGTAAAGAGTAATACAATCTACGCGTCGCTAGCGTCTGCCTACGTATCCACGCGAATCTAGCCAGCATCATGAGTGGAGACATGGTCGCGGATAGTTAGGGGTAGCAGACAGATGGTAGAGCATGGCGAGATAAAAGGGTAGCAGACTGCAGGTAGAGTATGGGGAGATAGAAGAGTAGCACACTACTGGTACCCTCCCATCTTCCCATAACGCTGTGATGGACGCTGGTAGACGCTGGCAGACGCTAGCACTCGATAAACGATATCTATGCTTCCTGATTGCTGACGCTGCCGGACGCTTGGAACACTGGTGTCTCCGAAGTTATGGATCGGCAGGACAGCGACCTGTACGTGATTCCTCGGGCTCCCGGCTCAAAGACCCTTCTAGGATGGTTTCTCTAGAGAGAACGCATTCTGCGGCATGATGGCAGACAACAGATTAATCTGTGCTCTGGCCGAAGTCTGGACTGACATCATGGTCAACTGTCAGTCTCGTGTGAAAGCCGTCGTCGCTTTGATCGATTGTAGTTCATTTTACAGCAGCTGGGATTGAGAATTTATCGTCTTCAAACAGCACTTATATGTCGCACATAGCAACAAGGTTACTTTCGTCCAGCCTGGGCACTGTCACTCATATCTCTGTGAATTTGCGATTCTTCACACTTCTCTTTATGGAGCAGAAAGAAGAGAACACGGTCTTCTCCGGCGATTTTGAGATGGTAACTGGGTAACTATTGGAAGCTTCTACTCTACACTCACGAGATTTTCTTTTTATAGCGCTGGACTGACACATCACTTGCGTGGACTCCGTCAGAGTATCAAGGAATTACGCGCACTAATGTGTACGAAAAAAACATTTGGACGCCTGATCTTACGATATACAACAGGTATTCTCATAGGACGGTTGCTCGCGTTTTTAGAGAAAGCTTTTGATTTGATAAACTGCCCAGTTTAAAGACAAGCCTGCAGTCATTCGCCATCATAGATGGTGGGTTAGGGGTTTGCATATAGACGACAAGGTTTTGAGCAATTTGATAGTGAAGAAAAAAGCTCCAAGGAACTAACTATGTAACGTGCCTACAGCAACCTTCATTCTGAGCCAGTTGCGTACGGGCGCCCAATAAACTCCCTTCATCCCAAACATTCTACAGCGATCCAAACCAGACGACTGCTTCTCCCCAGCAGTAAAAAATCAAGCGGACCATTAAGAGACGATTTTCATGCTCTTTTTTCTTATCGTCCATGCAGATTCGAATTTTGCCCAACTGGAGCGTGAGGCACTTGAAGCGGACAGTCTGAAGGCGGGGTCGCTGGAGAAATTGGAGGCGTCACTGAACTATATTGCACTGTTGCGCCCTCGCTTACAATTTTTCTGCGGAATCGGTACAAGGTTGCTCGGACCACACTATCTTCCCGTCACCATAGTTCCAGCTTCTATACCTGATCGCGGACCGCGCCATTAACGACGCAGTGCGCGCTCCGAAAGAAGGAAAGCTATCACAAGAATGCTGAGATATTGGCAAAAGTCGGACCCGGGACGGGACTTGAACCCGCATCTCCCGCTTACCGGGCGGTTGCGTTATCCATTACGCTACCGGGGCCACTATTGCCTTCTCAGCTCGATGGCATTTGAATTTGGTTTTGCACGTTTTGAAGAGAATCTCATTTCAGCGTCAATCAAGAGCCCGTGATAGACGACGATAGGCGACTGGCCACAGTGTCTTCTGAAGGTCTAGTCCAAATATCGAATCCTTCTATCTACACTGTTCGCTGTAAATTAAACGTGAGCTCTCGAACTTTCCTTTTAAAGGCATGAGGCATGGTAATTTAGTACTCTGTCCAAAATGGCGCAGGAGTGCTAATGGAGAAGCGTGTGGGAAATGGCGAAAAAACCAGTGAAATGGTCAAAAAAGTGCAGAAAACTCTTTGTTCTACACGAGTCAGAATGCAATTTCGGACGAGATTCCCGTTGGCATCGTACGCTTACGGTACACACGGGTGCATTCTTGTAATAATATGTCCACGCAGCACCGCAGCCGCTTCATATCAATCCCTTCGCTTCATATTGTACTTCGCAAATGAAGCGATACGAGCATCAGCATCGGTCGGACATTTGTGGGCGGGCGGGCGCGGTGGGCGTTCGGGTCGGTCTGTTGCAGCTTGGTAGGACGTTGTGGGGGTAACTTGCTGTAACTTGCTCGGGAAAGGCACCCCGCAGCGCCTGCTCAGGGGCGTAGAAATACTTCTGCGCATCAGTCCTACACGTCTTGGAGATTTATGCTGCCCTCGCCATTAAAGCTGGTATCTGTTTAGCTTTCATAAAAGTTCTACAAAATATCTTTCTTCCCTGCTGGAGGGATAACGGCCTCGGTGGCGGGACAGCTAGCGCATAACTGATACGAATTCGGAATGCATTTTTTTAGGCTAAACTGAGCGTATTGCTCAAAACTCAGCGTCCCTACATCGCTTGGCCCAGTCTTTACGCCACATCCTCTAAGTACTCATTTTCACGAGCCCTAAGCACAAGTTCCTGCGATTTTTTTTGTTGAAAATAATTTGAAGAAGTATTTATAGTGGCAGTTCCCCGCAGAACGTGATAAGCCATTCGAGACCGGTAGCGAATTCTCGTGAAACCAACTTGTTGAGGAAGCTCCCATTACCTCATATCTTACATCTTGTACTTCATATCTGTGAGATGCAGTAGGGTTGGCCGTGTACTTCGTTTGAACTAGGCGACAGCCGTGCATCTGATGAGATCTTTTAAGTGTGGGACGGTTCTACTTTGTAACTGTCACCCTACTATTCGAATTATTCGGGAAGAACTTTAGTGGAATTTATTACCTAGGAGGGGAACCAACTGGAAGGGGAAGCCTTAGTTTGGCCAAGCAGAGAATCAGCTGAATCATCATAGTTGCAATATAGCTGCAATATAAGCGTTGATCCCTACAACGGTTGGACGCGCGACGCAGCGCGTACTGGAGCGCAGCCAGGGTGCCGGTTTTCCACCAACGATGCCATCCCGCCTTTGCTGCAACTGGTGGAAAGTCTGATCTGGCTGCACTCCAAGGCACCCCCCCCCCGTCAGATGTTCTATCGTTTACAGAGATCATGGCTATTTGCAGACAACAGCCTCCTGCCCGGCCCCCGAAGCTTTAGGTCGAATGGCATTGTGGGTTTGGCGCTAACTGGCTACCTCTTTTTACAATCACATTTTTCAGATTAAAAAGTTTCCATTCGATCAGCAACTATGTAAAGTGAAATTCTCGTCTTGGGTCTATTCGGAAGATGAGCTTACTGTCAGTGCGCCTACACCTGAAATGGATTTAGAGAGCGGAGAAGTGAGTTCGAGAAGGCATGAACAAAAAATCTCAACTTATGCCACTAGATTTTGTTACTTTATATGTAGCAACGAGGGTATAAAGCAAAAGTTTCATCGATTACCTGGGCCACCAACAAAAAGTTGCTTCCATAGCCCCCCCCCCTCTCGCTGCGCAAACAATGTGAAAAGATATCGCCGCGCTATTCATGAAAAGTGATTTAAGAGGCTAATACTGGGTGATAATTTGCAAACCACGTATGTAAGAGCGCATTGATCTAGTGCGATTCGGTCGCTTTGATCGCGTAATAAGTATAGTGATTTATTTCGGATATGTAGTGAAAGAGTCTGAAGGCATATGCACGATAACTTGGCACTCGGTCTAACATGCTAGCAGGGTGCCATATTGCGGGAGAAATGCTGAAAAAATGAAGTGAAACGGTCAAAAACCTGCATAGCCTTCATTCTTAAAGGCAGCTGGCACGATGATTGGGTGTTCGGCCCAAAATGCTAGTAGGGCGCTATATAGTGGGGGAAATGGCGAAAGAACGGAGTGAAATGGTTAAAATCCTGAAAAAAGAGGCCTTCTGTTTTCCCTGAGGCTCTGTTTTCTGATGATCAATTTTGTACCGAGTTTTTCCGTAGGCGATCTTGTCAAAATGGCTACCGCAAGCTAGGTACGGCTGCATAATGTGTACATCATATCATCCATTGCAGCATCCACACGCGCTTCATACCATAGGATTTGGCTTGCCTTGCTTCATAATTTTGGCATTGCGCAAATATATATTTTAAGAGGCGTCGGAACAGTCCGTCCATTTGTGGGCGGGCGGGCGTGGCGGGCGTTTGGGTCGTATGTTGGAGCTTGATAGGGCCCTTATAAAGGCACCTTCTCCGGGTACACCGCTATACAGCGCCTTCTCAGGGTCGCGGACTTCCGTCCTGCCAGGCGTATTAGTCCTGCTCCTCTGGAGGATTTATCGTGCCAACTGCCTTTAATGACTTGAAAAGCAATTTCGGACGAGCCCGTAGTAATCTGCCAATAACCGCCGCGTGTACACGGTTTGCCTAATTTACTCCCGATATCCATCAGCACCGCAAGCCGCTTCATAGTTAGACACTGCTTTCATATTTAATGCAACGACCACGCAATGCCTAGCTTCTCAGGTACAAGTCGTGCCATTTTGTACGGGCGGCGATGCGGTGGGCGTCTATATTGCAGCTTGATAGGCCTGATAAAGGCACCTCCTCGGAAAAAGGGCTACACAGCGCCTGCTTAGGGGCGCGGAATCGGGTGTCAATCCTACTTGTCTTGGGGACTTATCGTGCCAGCTACCTTTAGACTGTCTTCGTGTAGGTTTTGCTCTAACTATAAGCGCAAGAGAACTTGTATGTTTGCAACTCTCATCAAAGTAAGTAAAAATGTTGCGTTCAGATTTTCCATATAGGATGTTCGACTAGATTTTCCATAGCAGGAATCAGCTGGTAGTAAAATAATGCTAAGGCAACCCGGTTCATCGTTATGAAAGTGACTGTTACAGGCAGAACAAAAAGCTGCACGTTCCACGCACATTGTTCGGGCGACCAATTTCGATAACCAAAAAGGAAACCAGATATGTTCAAGAATTGCAATTTCAAATAGAAAGCCGCGTGCCATTCCGTGGAATATTGATACAGTACCTTTCTGCTAGGACTAGGACCTGAGGGGAGGCAGTTCAACACCATAGGGCGCAGGTGTCTACACCACGCTAGCACTCCATAATTTAGCTGAGGAATGGGGCACTCCGCACGTTACCTGCAGGTGAATCCGCACATCCAGGCTGCTGCACTCGAAAGTAAGCGTTTTTATACTGGGAATATATTTCTTTACAAAGTTCGCGGACCCTAGTTAACCTTCATTTATTGCTATATAATAGGCATTTGTGAAGGGAACGCGAGAATCGCCAGTCTCGGTGCGGGCCCACAGTCTACAGCAGCAGTGAGGGAACTGCTGCTCACGCTAAACGCTCAAAGAATATCGTGCAATCTGCGCAAAACTCTCGTGCTGACAGGGACAACATGGGTGCGATCGAAGGACTATGACACAGTAAGCCTTGAGGAGCTGAAGTGCCAATGTCGTGTTCGCAATCTGGACCCTAAAACACACTTAAGCGTAAATTTACTGTGAATTATTTTGGAAAAGTGGTGACGACAGAGTGGCGTTAGCGCCAGGCACTAAGAACGAACGTTCTGGTAAGCAGCAGGGTATTTTTTAAAGTTGAGATGTTGCAATAGTGCCGTTTTTGGTTTTTTTTTCCGCAACCCTCTGAGGTCCTCGAAATACGAGAAACTATCATTAAAGAAAGTAAGAATGATATTCCGTTTCATATCATCATCTATTCACTAAATTTGGTGTAGCTGCACGAGAGATTTCGATAGTGCACTCCATGACTGTTCCCAACATCACTATCAACACCATACATACAGTCCTTATCCCTGAGACGGAGTAGGCGTGGTTCCGAGAGGCTAGAGGACGGGTTTCCCTTGGGATACTTCAATTTGGAACAACTGCTATCTTGTTCTGTGCATATGCAGACATGATTGCGACTGCTCCGAAATGACAATATCTCACGAAAACCTGGGCCGACGCCATTTTAAATCAATGAGTATACATTGGCGTCCTCTACACCAAAGCCAAAGAACAGCAGCAAATTATGCAAGAAACTCCATTCAATGCGGAACACTGCGATAAATGCAACCACTTCCATTTAAATGTACTGGTACTGTCGTCAATTGTGTTGTACGAACATCCTCAACGGACTTACTTCGGCTCGGCTACTTCGGCTTCTTCCAGCAAGGGACCTAAACAACGTAAGAGGGCCGTGACGGTGCAAAAAGACATTGATGAACCTCTCATTCCCAGTGCCTGAGCCGAGCAACTGGCTTTCGGTATCACGGTCACACCCAGATCCCTCCCCGGTGTGGAGCCTTACTTCTCAGTCACGACATCGCACGCATTACCAGAGTATTTCCTAGCTAGTTGACCAGACAGATAGATACGTCTGTTCAAGAGATGAACGCACACGGAGAGAGCAGAGAAGGTCGAAGCACTACAGTACTATAGCGCTAAGCTGACTGGGACCTTGTGCGAATACTGCGTAGAACACCCCGCTTACAATACCTGGTTCGTAACAGTAGCTGTGACTGGGATGTAGTGCTTCGCACCCATCTCACCACCTTCCCAACTGAGAGACATTGAATGAGCACGGTTCGGCTTGGAGAGGTCATTTTGCCCTTTCGCTGGTTAGTTTTGTTGGTCCAGGTTTATAGTTTTGGTTAGGCCTGTAACGTACTGTGAAGCTACGAAATAGAGCGCATGAACCACTTTGGTCACAGAAAGTTACAGAACTCACCAGAGCACAAATCGGTGCCCCCTACCAAGACGAAATGTGCAGTCAAATAATCCATCTCCTTGTTCGGTTGTACTTCAGTGAAACCTAGAGATAGCATCACAACAAGTCAACAAACTCTACAAATTACAGTATCAAGGCAACAGCGAATGGAAAGTCACCTCGCTGACTGTAAGCTCCCTGTCGAGCACCGACCAAAATAATAGAACGTTTCAGGTTGGTTTTCTTTCGTAATTAATGCTCGCAACACTATGTTGCTGAATTTCAGGAGTTGCACTACTCAGTAAAGCTGGAACGCCATTCGACGTACTACGTCTATGTACTATTTTTACCTACTTTCTTAACAACAGCCCTCTGTTTGGTTGGCCTATTTACACCCTTCAACAATGCCGGCGACCGCGTAGAAAGAGTGAGTGAAGCTTGGATACTGCTGGGCAGTCATTTTAGTGAGCTCAATCATCTGGTTTTAGACGACACTTGGATTGACTACTCTTCTATCGTTGGCCGTCATTCTCAACATCATTGGTGACGCTATGCCAAAATCGTCCACTCTACCACAACTAGGTAATTTCAAGATTTTGCCGCAAACGTTTTACCACGTTTCTAGCCGTTCCACATCGATTCTTTGGAGGAAAGGCTGGATTTCGTTATGGGAATTGACTCAGAGGAGCACTGAAAGGCATATTCGCAAGTATCGGAGTTCAATCGCCCCATAAGTAAACTGTATCAGCTCGCCTGTATCACCTGTGTAATCTCGATGAATTCGATGTTGTCGAGGGCTGCTAGTTATAGCCTCTGATTGTGCCAGAGTTGACCCAAACCGGTTTTCTTTCGAAGGGTTGCTCGCATGAATGTATCACCATCTCCGTTCAGGAGCCTTTAAAGGCAAAAGCCCGACCACGATAGGGGGGGGGGTGTGGTAACGGAACCCACATATGAACGAAGAAGGGCTAGGTATCTGATTAGCGGAGAAAAGCAGTCGGAAAAGCAGTGGAGAATGCCCTAAATAGGATTACCATATCGACCCAACTTGTACATGCATGCAATGAAGAAACGCATGTTTGTACGAATTTCCACTCGTCGTTATCATAAAGATATCAGCTCTTTTATCTTATCACCTCACTCTCACCATTCGGAATGAAGAGAGATAGTATAGTGGCTACTAGCTAGTAGCTAGCAGCCGGTTGGGGTCGGCATGGGCCTAAGGGGCGCCAATGGGCCTAATTGGTTAGCTTAAAGCGGAATTCTTGCCGATTTTCACTTTCTAAAGGTAGCGCAGCCTCCGCAATCTCCTTCCGGATCGTCTGACACATTTGAAAGGTATCGACCTTATTTTTCCATACCGCGGAAAGAGCTTAACGAAGAAATCTGACCATCGCGTAGGCGGTCGTCCAGTTGATTGTTTGACATCCCGTGGAGTCCAGTCGGTAATCGTCTTCGAAACGCATGACACGCCAGGCGAACCTGACCTTCGGACTTGGCAAATGCGGCGGCGTTCCTGATTTCTGATCGTCGACAGGATCTCCGGACTCCCTCTCTCACTTGCGTGAGCGGGAAACCCCGAGCATTGCTAATTCGATGGCGCGTTGTAGATCCCAAGTCTCTGAGGCGTAAGTTGAAAACAGGAAGGACCGCGGAATCCAAAGAGGTGGGCACGGAGCCTGATGTTCACCGTCCTCTTCGCTACTCCCTCGATGTTCTTGAAGGCTCCCAAGCCGCTCGCTTCCTCCTGCTCAGCTCTGGTGCTAAGTCGTTCATCATATTGATTTCACGACCCAGGTACACTTGGCTAGAGCTTTCAGAGATGTTCGTTCCCGCCCGCCATCTTACTTTTGCTCACAATCCACCACTCTTGTGATATGCGTTCCGTTCCTCATGAACATCGTCTTGATAGATTCAGCTGCAAACCTTTTTCCAGATGCGCAGTCGAAATCAGCCAGCATTCGCTCAGCTTGTTCGATGTTTGGTGTTATCAGAACGACGTCGTCAGCAAAGCGGAGATGGTGTAGATGCGATCCGTCGACCTTCAGTCCCATGTCTTCCCAATCCAGTCGACTCATACGTTCTCGAGAAGCGCTGAAGAGCTAGAGCGAGATGGTGTCGCCCTGTCGGACCACCTCTCTTCACATCGATGATGATCTCCTTGTAGAATGGTGAGATCTTGGTCGTGAAGTTGCTGTAGAGCTCACGAAGAATCCTGATGTACTGAGTAGGAATACCCTGGTTGCTCCAGAGCTTCGATAACCGCTTCTGTCTCAACGGAGTCGAAGGCTTTCTTCAAGTCGATGAACGTGAGACATAACGGCATCTTGTACTCTCGCGATACTTCGATGAGCTTCGTTATCCGTGTGAATGCCATCAATCGTGCTAAATCTTTTAGGAAACCCTGGCTGCTCACATGGTTGTCATTCGTTGCCACTCCTGTTCAGGATGGCTCGTGTGAAGAGTCTACAGAGTACGGACATCAGGTAGTTGGCCGACAATTGCAAATATCGTACAGGTCTCCCTTCTTGTACAGCAACACAGTCTTGCTGGTTTTCCACGAGGTGGGTACCTTGCATTCCGACAGGTAGCGCGTGAAGAGTCGAGCCAGAGTTTTGACGAGAACTGGCGGAAGATTCTTCAGATTCAGACGTTTGGATTCGATCCTATCGGGACCGAGTGCCGTACGACTCCTCACTGACAAGATGGAGTGTCGGACTTGGACGAGAGAGCACAAAGACGACCTATCTACCTCGTTCCAAGCAGCATGGTGGCGGGTGGCTGTCAGAGAGATCAGAGTTGAAGTCGTGGATGACCTTCTCCATTGCTCTTCTGCGCAGTGGTTTTTCAGTCTGGACGAAGTAGCGGCAGGCCTTGCGGATGCTCTTCCCACCCTCTGCGGGTTCTACCAGTACTGCTGCCTCACCTCTTTGAGGTCTTCTCTGTTCTTTGAGGTCTTCCTTTATCGCTCTCTCTGCATAGCTTCGCAAGCTCAGACGTCAGCTGGTAGTTGTCCTGCAGCTTGTGCGTCTTCACGTTGGCGGATCAGCTCGAGTTTTCAGAGACACAAATATTCCGGTGATATCTTGCAAAATGGGCCAGAAGCTCCAAAAGTACCTTTTTTCGAATATTCATGGTTTTCTTCACTGTAGAGCTTCTGAAGCAGAGAACGTGGGGTTGTGAAGCTCTAGGCTCCGTAGGTACTGCCCTTAGCCAGCTTGAACATCTCCTATCAAGGAAATCCGCTGTGATATCCTTGTCCGAATTTAGTGTCACCTATGAAATTTCATGTTCTGATCCTCCATCATTCTCCTCGTATGTGACCTCTTGTAAAACCAAAAAGTGTGCTGGATTCTAGGAAATACCCCCTCTCCGAAGTTCTCCACTTTTACTATGTCCACCAGTTAGGGAAACCCGCTGTGTCATTTCTGTGGATAGTTTCGGGCGGCACGAAAACCCACTCGTCCTGCTGGATACCATTTCCAGTTCGTTTCAATACTTGACTATGTTTCTAGACCCATTTTTTTGAGCTATAAGGGAATAGTTCATTCGGCGCCGACTGACATATCCTCTACACTGCGCCATGCATCCGACCCCCACGCTGAGTGTTGGAAAGGTGTAACTCTTAGGTAAGGCTTCTCCGTGCAAGCAATTGTGCTCCTGCACTTAGGAGGTCCGAGCGTTCATGGCATTTTCGTAGGTCGCCTTTACTTCTTGTAACCGCCCGACCCAACTTCTGAGCTTGCAGCTTGCTGTGTTTTTTTACTACGAAAACTACATGTCAATCTTTCATTATTCAGCAACGATTGTCTTCTGAGTATTGCCGCTCTTTTCGCTTCTGGATGAGCCCACACTTACGACCCTTCTCTTTCCCCCTCACAGTCAAATACGACCCCACTTGTGAATTCCACGTTGACGATGTGCCCCGTATGCAGAGCTCGCATCAAAATGCAGTAAGTTCGGAAAAAATACTAATTTCCTTTCAGCCGCCTTCGTTCTTGCCGAGATTCTGCTCTGTTGTATTGGGGTATTAGTGGCTGTTATTCTTCTAGTTGCGCACCATCGCATTGTCACCAGGCAACTTATTCTTCCAGTTGGAGTGACGAAGAGAAAGTGGAAAAAGAGCCAAGTAATCGGTTTTGATCTGAATACCCATCTTAGTCTGTTTATTGTTCTTTCCAAGTACTATTTTATTTGTTAGCCCAACAAGCTGGGTATCAGAACCCTTGTATCGGCAAGTGGCTGGAGAGAGGAACGAAACTCGATGGACGAACTCGCGGATACATTACATGTAAGTTTTGCAAGATGGTAACACTTCAACTTCCTGCAATGAAACAGATTTTTGCTTTTTGAATCCACACTTGCTTTGATACGCTATATGGGGAAGATGGGCCCTTACACAGAAGACTCGACTTGCACCCCAAGCTTACCGGGCTGGTGTGCTAACCTATGGTCAATCAGAGCTACTCCCGGTCTAATGAGCTTTGCCACTCAAACGACTGTAATATTAGGTTGTCCGGAAAGTTCTCAGCGTTTTGAGTGTTTCACTTCAAACGATCATAACTTTCTTAATACTCATTAATACTCATCGGATTTAATCAAAATAGGCACCGTTCGAATCAGCACACTTTTGCCAATGTGACACCTGTCGATAAATCCCATCAAAGAAAAAAACTGGGTGGTAGAGAATCCACGAAGTCCATGTAGGCTTTTTTGCCTGGTCCTGATTGATGAAGTATTTTCCAGCAAGGAAGTTCTGAAAATGTTGAAAAGGTGATAGTCGGTTGGTGAAAGGTCTGGAGAATATGGCGGGTGAGGTAGAACTTCAACCCCCAATTCGTTCAATTTATGGATAGTGATTTGTGAAACGTGTGGGCGGGCGTTGTCATGCAAAAGAATCGGACCCTTTCTTTTGATAAGTGTTGGCTGCAGCTGACAAAATTTTCGGTACATTTCGTCGATTTCTTCACAGTAGGACTCTGCTGTGATGGTTTGGCCTGGTGACAAAAAGTTATAGTGGATCACACCAGCCGATGACCACCACACTGACCATAACCTTTTTTGGTGAAGATTCGGCTTTGGAAATTGCCTCGGTGGTTCGTCGGCTTCCAACTTGTCCGTTCTCCTGCTACGTATATATGATCCACTTTTCATCACAGGTGACAATTCCGGTAAAACAAACGGGTCGTTTTCTGATGCGCAGAAAGCAAGTGAAGAGAAACCTCGAGTACGTGGCCCCGATTTCTGCCGGTCGCTGACTTATGGGGCACTCATTTGTCGGGTTTTATCAACCTTCCAATGCGTTTCAGACCATCTGCAACACTGGATTTGCCAACGCCTAGCTTTTCTGCAATCTCTCGAACTGTTTGGGATGGGTCAGCCTCCACAAACGCCTTCATATCCTCGTCAATGCGTACTGCTTTTAGGTCGACCACTACGAAGTTCATCTTCAGGGCTGAGATTTCCAGAACGAAATTTGTCGAACCATTGTCGCATGGTACTTTCTCTATCACTTTTGGGCCCCCACACCTGGGTAATTTGTTGAGCTGTCTCGATTGCGGGTTGAACCAATTTTTAGTTGAAGAAAAATATCGTGCCGAAGTTGCTCTTTTGACATGCTTCAAAAAGTCTTGGGAAAAGGGGTTCATCAAGCAATGGTGAAACGTCAATTTTACCGTCAGATAGCGCAAAGAATTCTCTTCAGGATGTACTACTGACCATGAGACGCAAGGGAGAATGAGTTTTCAATCAGCAATGAATGTACAAAAAATAGTAACACAAAACGCTGAGAACTTTCCGGACAACCTAATAAGATGAAGCCTGGTCCAAACCACAATTGCAAAATAAACCGCGGAGGGTTGAAGCATTCTACCTCCAATTATTTCTGCTAGACCGAATATCTACGAGGTGTAAGTCGGGCAGTAAGGGTTCGTACTGCTAAAAAGTATAGTACTTTCAATCCCTTTCTGGGTTGGGAATACTTTGAAACCGAAGGCACGATACCACGCGCGAACCGCTTAAATTGCTAGCTAGTTGCCTCGACATTTCAAATTGGGCGTGAAATCAATCGTGCTGCGGCGGCCTACATTGTCCTTAATTTCACTACCTTGTCCCAAAAAATCGGACAGTCCGGTGAATTAACCCATTCTATTACAAGTTTCACGAATAATGGGGAATTCTCTAATTGAAACACTCGAATAATAGACGTGAGCTGACTGCAATCCTTAGAAGTTGATCAGACGCCAAAGGGTTATCTCGTATCGACCAGCTACCGGCATTAACACAGTTGGCGGGGGGCACTTGGCCGCACCTCTGTATCCTTCCCCAGAAGGACTAGGCTCCGGACGCAAACGACAAGAGTGGCCGAGGGATAGTTCCGCAGTACATGACCTGAACTGAGCCTAAACTTTGATTAGGGGGAGGGATACAGAGGCGCTGGCGTGTCCCCCCCCCTCGCCACCATGCTAGCGCCCAATTGGTTAGTTCGTAATTCCCGACCTCGAAGGTGCACGGACTAGAGCTACATGCCCATCCAGGCGAGTCTCCCCTCTTTCGAGGCCGTTAGGCAGACCCGAGTGAGTACCACTTCTGAATGAAATCTTGACTTTCAGATGATCACGATCGAAATAGAACGGAGGAAGACAATAGAGGACTTCAGGTTACACTGGGTCAAAATTTTCGACACTATGGATCTATTCTTCCTAATTTTATTTCAAGGCATCAATTTTATACTTAGTTTATGTTTCTTTACCATCAGATAAAAATCCTGATGTTTCAAAAATCCTGATGTTTCAAGTGTTTTACTTTGCATCACATGAATATTCCACCATTAAACCGAGTCCAAAATTCTAGGCAGAGATCAGTAAGATGTGGGGAAAACGACAAGAGTGAAATTACTGGAGGCCACTGAAAGAATAACATTCTCAACCAAAGATGAATTGCGTTCACTTACAACGAAAGTCGTTAATATTGTTTGTAAGACACTATTAGGAGACGCTACCCGGTGACTTTATTTTGGCTTGCTCTCCGCATCACTAATGTATCGTACAGTGACAGTATTTTCTGGCATTGGGTTAGGGACTGGCTCATACTCGAACGCGAAAGATGAAGCAATGGCGAGCTGGGATCCATCATAGTTGAACGAAAGCGACACGATAGACGTTTGGAACCTGTAACCAATTAAAGGAACTCCTCTTCGTTTATCTTTCACAGTAAATACTGCAAAATTACCTGTGAAGCTGAACCAATCGTTTTCTGTTGAAGGGATCCCACAGGTTGACCACAGCATCGGAACCTCAAAACAAATAATCAGTATCGGGAACAACGTGTGAAACGAACTGTGGATGTAGAAGAAAGCCAGTCGCTACTTGTAAGCGCTAACTCTGTCCCTCTACTAACCTCCCATCTTCAGCCATCCATTCTAGCTTTTTCAACCGATCTCTAACCTCTCGAGTCATATTGACCGGAAAACTTGCACTGAGGTGGTTTACCACCTGAATGTTTATTCGCTCATCCATATATCTACCTTGTCACTGTTTCATACATATTCCTGATCATTTCCAACTTTGTTGAAACTGGTACCCATGGAGTAGTTCGACCTACTAACACGAAGCCATCACATTCCCTTTGCCCGAAACGCCCTGCGCCCACGCTCGCGCCTGGCAAATAGTTCATGATCAAAAAATCGCAAGAAAAAACTGTCCCTGAGAAGCTTATGACTAATTCTAAACAAACAATATCACACACCGCTTAGCTTCAAGACCGCCTTGGTGTTGCACTCAATGTGACATCATCGTGCGAGTTGACCACGGTCTATTGCACAGACTCTAATGGGTTGGTCCAAGACTGCAATGCCCATCTGCCGGAAACATAAAAAAGCCTTTATAATCCGTGAGTATCCTTTTTGTTGGCTCCCCTACAAAGGCGAAGGGATCACATCTCCGGAAAGGGGGGGGGCAGAAAAGAATACATCTCAGGGAAGGTGCAAAGAAGTAGCATCTCAGGGGAAGCGTGCAATAGTAGAAGTAGACCGCGCTGCCACGACTACACCCCCACCCCGCGTTGCTCAAATCTCTTGGCACCCCGTGCAGACGCGTTTATGTTCAAAAATCAAACAAGACATCCCCACAAGTTCTCAGGGAATATGGTGATTAGAGCATTTTGCGCCGGTGCCTATGATGTGGGCTTTGATATTCGTGCTCCAGAGGTCAGATTAACCGACAAGCCTCCAGTCAAATCCGCTCTGAAGAGGAAATCGGTGAAAAACTTTCGGCCTGCTTTCGGGAGATCTGGGCAGTGAAGGTAGATAGTGCCGAAGACCAACATAATACAGAATCAGACAGAGAGCTGTAAAAAAGCGAACAAGAAGCTAAAAACTCACCTCCAGTAGCGAATGTTCCGTTCACAGGATGGAAAGCGAGAGCATTTACAGGGTATATACATTCTACACCGTCCTCCTTACTCCTGCAACGGGCAACGGAACTAAGATTCTCATAGGAAAATCCAAGAGTTGCAGATAAAATAGACAGCACTAAAAATTTAGGGAACGAACCTATGACATTTGAAAGCATATTTCTTTTTCTGTTCTTCAGGAGAAGGATTCACATACTCAATAGCAACACGACCTTCTATAGACGAAACGACAAATGCATCACCAGTTGGGAAGAAGGCAACATTTCGAGTTTGATACTGAAAGAAAAATAACTAGTCTCAGAGTTCTCTACGATCTAGGCGTAGCGCAGTGTACAGAAAACAAGACATGAGAACAAAGTATTCGGTGAGCAGGAGCACAGGAACTATGTGAAGGTTTCCTGTTCCCATTTTTCATAAGAAACTCGAAAAGCACTTTGGAATATAAACTGAGAAATCAAGCCTTT